TTATAAGTATCATTAGATGTTATAGTATGCGATTACATTATATCACTTTTCCTCAAATAACTATATTTGACATATATCACTCTCGATACTTATAACTAATTCCATCAGTTATATTACTATTGTCGCTACAGTATCCACGTACAGTAACTAATATAATTATAATTATCATTAGATGTTATAGCATTTGATCACATTATATTACTTTTCGTCAACGAAAACATATTTAGCATATATCGCTCTCAACACTCATAACTATTCCATCATTTAAATCACTACTATTGTTACGGTATCCATGTACAGTAATTGATAGGATAATTATAATTATCATTAAAAGTTATAATTTACAGTCTTGGAAGCAATATTTAGCAGTGCACAAACATATTATGAATTATTTGGTAACTCATAAAAAAATTCCAAAAGAAATTTTGGACGAAGTGGATGAATTTTTAAATGCATGCAAAAAACAAATGACCGATGAAATGATCAAAGATGAAGCATCAAAATTATCATCCTAAAAAATTTCCCTTCTCTATGCCAATTTTCATCTATACATTTTATTTCTTTTTTTTTTTTTATAAAATCAATAAATTATATGACAAAAAAATATGAATGTCAAACTTGTCGAAACTTTTGATAAAATTGGAAATTAAATTAATCAAATTTGAAATGGTTCGAAAAAGATATATTTTAATTTAAATTACAATAGTAAAATATGTTGTAAATAAAAATCGTTCTGTTTAATTTGAATTTTTTTTTTTGAAATTTAATATAAATATTTAAATTACATTATATTTATTATGAATTAAAATTATAGATAAATGAAAACGAATGAAATATCGTTTTTACTTTTAAAATTTAATTTAAATTAATTTTTTTTTTGTATAATAAAACAATTTTTGCAATAAACCTGAAAAGTAATTTTGTTAAATTAAATTGAAAATGCGAGGCGGCGCAAAAAAGGGGCATCATCACAATATAATGTCATCTTGGGTCATATACATACATCCTTTACCACCGCTATCAATTCCTGTTTTATGTACACCACTGTCTGCATGTGTCTGTCTATCTGTCTGTGTATTTGTCTTGTGTGTGTGCGTGTGTGTGTGTGTGTGTGTGCGTGTGCGTGTGTGTGTGTGTGTATGTTGTAATGCAATATTATCTAATTTCTTACTTCGTTTTCATCTTTAAATGTACCATCTTTCTTTTTTTTTTTTCTTAACATTAACTGATAAACATCCATTTATTATCAGTTTAAGTTAATTAGATTTAATCATTTCATACAAATGACAAAAGCGCTTAAATTTCATACATTAATTAAAGATAAATTTTAAGAAATTCAAAGTGATGATTCATTTTCTAATAGAAAATTCCACTTTTTTTTTCCGCAATATTACATTTTGCGCACAATACTTTACCCTATCACATACCCTACCCGTTATTTATCTTACCCTATTCTATCCTACCCTTACAAATCTTATCCACTTTTTTTTCCGCAATATTACATTTTGCGCACAGTACTTTACCCTATCACATACCCTAC